AATTCTGGGAGTTGAAGTCCACCCCTCTGAAAGCTGCCAAGGTTGAGAAACACTGTCATAGACACTCATTTTCTCAGGAACAGAATGGAAGTGATTTGTATCGCCTTTTTCCAGATTTTTTTTCCACTGCCCACTCTGGAAGATCCCACTGGTCTCCAAAGACCAACTGGTCAAATGCTCCTTAGCTTTTCTAAGATCCTCCAAGGTTAGCTGGTTGTCCTGGTACAAGCTGTCCCCGGGGACTACTCTCTTCCCCCGACCAGTTGCTCCCTAGCTTCTTCTCAAAGCAAACTTCGGACCTTCTCCCCTTCTCATTTTATAACCCCGTTTCACCTTTTCGGCCACATCACGATCAATTCTGACCCGCTGGAATATTGGAAATGCAGAGGGATTTCCAATGGGAGGGATTTCCGAATGGGATTGAAAAGACGCTCCCCTCTAACTCTGTCTTTGTCTTCCCCTTGTAATCTACCAGGACAATTTTTACTCAAGTACAGCCTCCCTTCCCCTGCAGCCTCCAAAGGGACTGGGACTACAGCTCCCATCATCTCTAACCGTCATATCCAGTGGGTGGGTGTGATGCAGTTTGTAATCCCAGCACATACGAAGGTGAAATGTTCTTTCTTTCTTTCTTTCTTTCTTTCTTTCTTTCTTTCTTTCTTTCTTTCTTTCTTTCTTTCTTTCTTTTTCTTTCCTTCCTTCCTCCCTTCCTCCCTTCCCTTCCCTTCCCTTCCCTTCCCTTCCCTTCCCTTCCCTCTCTCCTTCCTTCCTTCCTCCCTTCCTTCCTTTCTCTATACGTCACATTGATATAGCCACCCGTCTCACACAAAGCGACTCTGGGCGGTGTGCGACCGATGGATAAAAGCAACCATTATAAAAAGATGAAAAGCGATTATTGAAATAAAAAAGATGATCAAACACGTTAAACGTTTTAGATTCTAAAATACACAAACCCCACGGAGCATATCAGGGACGGTGGCTATGTCACTGATGTAATTTTAATACGAAATATGCCTATGAAAGTCATCAGACATATGGAGGTAGCTGAAGCTAGAGTGCTTGTTCGTTTTCGCATCCACGTCCTGAAAGGCGTTCTGATGGACACGTTCTGCAAGGAGAGGTCTTCCCCGCCCCGTATTTCCACGGAGAAAGGGTTCCTTGCGTGTTTACTCGCTGGCATGTTATTATGAGACAGACACTATGCAGATTCCAGTGCATTATAAACCTCGTGGAAGGTAGAGTGAGCCACGAAGGAAAGCAGCGGACGCTAAAAAAACAAGAGCCTAAAATCCTTTCTCGTATATAGTTTATTGATTCAAATAGCCTACACAGATAGACTACAGTTTGTTCTAAAATCCAGCTTATTTTTACATAACGCCAGGGACTTAGAAGGTAAATTGCCCTTAAAAAAAAAAAAAAAACTTTTTAAAAACCCTCAGAGAAAGCCATCCTCTTACATTCAGATTTTCCCTTTAAAATGACACCATAAAAATAAAGCGAGGATTAAAATATTATTATTATTATTATTATTATTATTATTACAAAATCTATGAAGATAGCTGATTACTGCAGCCCTTTTTATCTACATTTTTAAAGCAAAGGGAGGAAAGAAGAGGGAAAACTGAAGGTGGGCTTTGCAGTCACCAATGCTCCATTCTCCTTCATTTTCTTTCCCGCTGCCCGAAGCGTCGTCATCCTTCTTGGCAGAAAATCCAGTCCTCTTTAAAGTGCAAAGGGTCTGCAATCAAAGGCAGGAACGCAGTGCTCAGAGAAGAAGAGTGCACACCATTTTTTTGGGGGGGAGGAGAAACCTTTTAACAGAATGGAGACAAATATTAATTAAAGGCAGGGTTGGAATTCACTGAGGCAGGAAAACTCTGAAAATGCTTTTCTTTTCAGATGCCAACGCAGGAACCATTACGGGCCCAGGTCTTCTCCGCACCAACTTTATCTTTGGAAAAAATGGGCACCAGCAATTATGAAACTTCCCCACGTGCCCAAATGAAGCGTATGCCCTATTGGGAAGCAGAAGCCACAACGTGTCTCTTGAATCAAAACTTTGCTTTTGCCCACCTGAGTCCCTCCAGCATTACTGGCTCCCAGAATTTCCAGAGCTTGGGAAGTTGGAATCCAGACCCAGCTGGAACCCACCAAACTAAAATGCCACAGGCACTGTTGATTCCCAGTTCCTGGGCTCCTGGTACTGAGAAGACACACACGGGCACCAAGATGGCCACTGGAAACTTAGCAAAAGCAGTTGGCATAAAGAGGATCTCCGGGGGCAAAGTATAAAAGTCAGCTGCAAAGATCAGGAACCTAGAACCGCAATGAATTCAGGAATTCCAAGTCATCTAACTACATTCAGGTGTTGACAATTGCCATTTAAAAAGCTAGTGGCCACTATAGGAAGAGGTGGGAGAAAATGAATTTTCTTGGGCTGTTGGCATGCTTTGAGTTGGTGGTTTTCTTGCAGGCGTTTCATTACCAGGCTAAAAAACATCATCAGTGCATGGAGGAGTGAAGTTGGCAAAACCAACAGTAAAACTTTGAGCTACATCCATTTTCTACTACTGTATAGAACAGTGTTTCTCAACCTTAGCAACTTTAAGACGTGTGGACTTCAACTCCCAGAATTCCCCA